GGAGTGTGGTGTCAGGAAAATAACCTCTTACTCAACATCAACAAAACGAAGGAGATGATCATGAACTTCAGGAAACAGCAGAGGGAGTACCCCCCTATACACATCGACGGGACAGCAGTGGCGAAGGTGGAAAGTTTTATGTTCCTCTGCGTACATATCACTGGAAAACTGAAATAGTCCACCCACACAGACAGTGTGGTGAAGAAGGCGCAACAGCATCTCTTCAACCTCAGGAGGCTGAAGAAATTTGGCCTGTCACCTAAAACCCTCACAAATTTTTACAGATGCACAATTGAGAGCATCCTGTCGGGCTGTTTCACCGCCTGGTAGGGCAACTGCACCGCCCACAACCGCAGGGCTCTCCAGAGAGTGGTGCGGTCTGCACAACGCATCATCGGGGGCAAACTACCTGCTTTCCAAGACACCTACAGCACCCGATGTCACAGGAAGGCCAAAAAGATAATCAAGGACAACTACCACCCGAGCCACTGCCTGTTCACCCAGCTATCATCCAGAAAGTGAGGTCAATACAGGTGCATCAAAGCTGGGATCGAGAGACTGAAAAACAGCTTCTATCTCAAGGCCATCAGAATGTTAAACAGCCATCACTAGCACAGAGAGGCTGCTGCCTACATACAGACTTGAAAATCACTGGCCACTTTAATAATGCCACTTTAAAAACATGTATGTATCTTGCATTACCCATCTCATATGTATATATTGTATTCTATACTATTTATTGCATCTTACCCTATGCTGCTCTGACAATGACATTGCTCATCCATATATTTATAAATTCTTAGCGTAGTGCCAGTAACCGAAAGGTCGCTGGTTCTAATCCCCGAGCCGACTAGGTGAAAAATCTGTCAATGTGCCCTTGAGCAAGGCACTTAACCCTAATTGCTCCTGTAAGTCACTCTGGATAAGAGTGTCTGCTAAATGACTAAAAATAAAATAAATAAAAGAATTCCATTCCTTTACTTAGATTTGTGTGTATTAGGTATTTGTTATGGAACTGTTAGATATTACTTGCTAGATATTGCTGCACTGTCGGAACTAGAAGCACAAGCATTTCGCTACACTTGCAATAACATCTGCTAACCATGTGTATGTGACCAATAAATTTGATTTGATTTGATGATGCCCCTGTCCATGTAGTTCATGCACCTGAGCTTGCTGGTGCGGTGGCACTGGACTCTGACCCTGATTAAAAGTCTGGGTCAGCACAGAGATGAGGCTGTGTGCAGCCGAAACTACCTCTGAATACACTCTCTGCTGAACACAAAGTGAACATTAGCTGGAAACAGGGACAAGGTAAAAGCATTAACCGACTTGACAAAATTTGAATATTTTTAGCTTAAATAGCCAGCTAGTCCAGAACATTTCCCTAAGGGTAATTCAGATGCAATGCATTCGGCAAGTATTCAGACCACTTGACTTTTCCCACATTTTGTTATGTTACAGCCTTATTCTAAAATGAATTACATAGTCCCCCCCCCCCCCCCCCCCCCCCCCTCGTCAATCTACACACACTACCTCATAATGAAAAAAGCAAGAACAGGTTTAGAAATGTTAGAAAATTTATAAAAATATGAAACTGAAATATCACATTTACATAAGTATTCAGACCCTTTACTCAGTACTTTTTTGAAGCACATTTGTCAGCAATTACAGCCTCGAGTCTTCTTGGGTATGACACTACAAGCTATCACACCTGTATTTGGGGAGTTTCTCCCATTCTTCTCAGCAGATCCTCTCAAGCTCTGTCAGGTTGGACGGGGAGCGTTGCTGCACAGCTATTTTCAGGTCTCTCCAGAGATGTTCGATCGGGTTCAAGTCCGGGATCTGGCTGGGCCACTCAAGGACATCCAGAGACTTGTCCCGAAGCCACTCCTGTGTTGTCTTGGCTGTGTGCTTGGGGTCGTTGTCCTGTTGGAAGGTGAACCTTCGCCTCAGTCTGAGGTCCTGAGCAGGTTTTCATCAAGGATCTCTCTGTACTTTGCTCCATTTATCTTTCCCTCGATCCTGATTAGTCTCCCAGTCCCTGCCGCTGAAAAACACCCCCACAGCATGATGCTGCCACCACCATGCTTCACCTTAGGGATGGTTCCAGGTTTCCTCCAGACGTGACGCTTGGCATTCAGGCCAAATAGTTGAATCTTAGTTTCATCAGACCAGAAAATCTTGTTTCTCATGGTCTGAGAGTCTTTAGGTGCCTTTTGGCAAACTCCAAACGGGCTGTCATGTGCCTTTTACTGAGGAGTGGCTTCCATCTGGCCACTCTACCATAATGGCCTGGAGTGCTACAGAGATGGTTGTCCTTCTGGAAGGTTCTCCCATCTCCACAGAGGAACTCTAGAGCTCTGTCAGAGTGACCAATTCACTAACTTTTGGATGTCTTTTTGAGTGGGTGAATATAGGTTGTAATCTCAATTATCAACATCTCAACCAAATATTACCCAATTTTTATTTTATTTTATTAGGCAAGTCAGTTAAGAACAAATTCTTATTTACAATGACGGCCTACACTGGCCAAACCCGGACGACGTCGGGCCAATTGTGCACTGCCCTATGACTCCCAATCACAGCCGGTTGTGATACAGCCTGGAATCGAACCAGTGGGTCTGTAATGACGCCTCAAGCACTGAGATGCAGTGCCTTAGACCGCTGCGCCCTTCCCACTGTGCCCAGTGGGAAGGCTCATACAGTGTCTCTGTTTGAACTACTGGCGCACAGCTCGGACACCCATGCATACCCCACAAGACATGCCACCAGAGGTCTCTTCACAGTCCCCAAGTCCAGAACAGACTATGGGAGGCGCACAGTACTACATAGAGCCATGACTACATGGAACTCTATTCCACATCAAGTAACTGATGCAAGTAGTAAATTTAGATTTAAAAAAAAAACAGATAAAAAAAAAAACAGATTAAAAAAAACGTGTGGAACAGCGGGGACTGTGAAGCAACACAAACCTAGGCACAGACACATGCATACACACACACACACACGATAACATATGCACTATACACACACGTACACATGGATTTTGTACTGTAGATATGTGGTAGTGGTGGAGTAGGGGCCTGAGGGCACACTGTGTGTTGAGAAATCTGTGAATGTATTATAATGTTTTTAAAATTGTATGAACTGCCTTAATTTTGCTGGACCCCAGGAAGAGTAGCTGCTGCCTTGGCAGCAGCTAATGGGGATCCATATTAAATATAAAAAATACAAATACCCCTCTCCTTCTATCCCACCGATTACATGATATGGCACGAAAGAGCCAGGTGCCTTCTTTACTTTTGTTAGACAATCATTTGGCATGTGACCTCATAATGAAGTAATCTTCTGGTTGAAATCTGCAATCTAGTTTAGGTGACATCAGATAACCTGGAAACTCTGTCCACTCTCATATGTCTCCCCTCTTTTTATACCTTTTTCTTGTAAAACAACATAAAATACAAAAGTGGAATTTCACTCTCCTTTAAAAAAGACAGAAAAGACATCAGCCTGAAGTCATTGAGGTCATGATGTTCTTCCGTCATTTAAATGCTTTTGGTCCCACCTTCTGAAAGAAAAGTGATTTATTTCGATTAGCATTTAAATCAAAGTCATTTAGCAGACACTCTTATCCAGAGCAATTAGGGATAAGTGCCTTGCTCACAGATTTTTTACCTTGTCGGCTTGGGGATTTGAACCAGCAACTTTTCAATTACTGGCCACAATGCTCTGAACCACATGGCTACCTGCCACCCAAAACAGATGTCATTACCTGTTGGCGTAGTCTGCACTTTAATTACTCTTAGTCCTTAATTACTTAATTAGGTCTTAGCAGCTCTCAGTCCTTAATTAAAACATGCATGCAGCCACAAGTGTGTTGACAACAGTATAGGTTTCAAGAGGCAAGAACATTGGATCATAAATCATTAATTTAGCAGACACTCTTATCCAGAGCGACTTACAGTTAGTGAGTGCATACAATATATATATTTTTTTCATACTGGCCCCCTGTGGGAATCGAACCCACAACCCTGGCGTTGCAAACGCCTTGCTCTACCAACTGAGCTACATCCCTGCTGGCCATTCCCTTCCCTACCCTGGACGACGCTGGGCCAATTGTGCGCTGCTCCATGGGTCTTCATAAGGTATACATTGTTAAGGGATAAAAAGGTATACATTGTTAAGGGATAAAATTGTCTATCGTTAGCCTAAAAATGTTTAAACTACTTTTTTTATTATGTAGGCTACTGCAAAATCTGTCAAAAAAAACTATAACCTAATACAGATTGTTATGGAGGGTATTCCTTCCAGAAAAACAACATCAGCAAAACAACAACAACACAATGATTATCAATAATTGGGCTCCCGAGTGGCGCAGTGGTCTAAGGCACTGCATCTCAGTGTTTGAGGCGTCACTACAGACCCCCTGGTTTGATTACAGGCTGTATCACAACCGGCCGTGATTGGGAGTCCCATAGGGCGGCACACAATTGGCCCAGCGTCGTCCGGGTTTGGCGGGTGTAGGCCGTCATTGTAAATAAGAATTTGTTCTTAACTGACTTGCCTAGTTAAATAAAGGTAAAATAAAAAATACATTAAATTATTCATAAATAAATATGCTAAATAGAATAATAGCAAGAAATTAGGCTATGACAGCAATAGTAGTAATAACACCAACTGTATGATGATTATTTTTTAAATAACAAAGTAATGTGAAGGAAATTAAATCATGAATTGATGTAAAACGAACGCAAGGCCACACAAATACCATTTTCAACCCTTGTTTAGATCACACCACTAACATTATTAAAAGTCAATTCATTCACAGTATATCCCTGTACATTAGTCTTTCATAGGCAATGCCAAAATCCCAATTTACACAAGAGCATTATTTTCTTGAAGAAAGTCTGGGGAAAATATGAGTACTGCTAGTAGTGAACTTTTACCAATCTTGAATAGTTCAAAACTAGTGGAATTCTAGACTTACCCTCGAAGCAATGCAGCATCTTACGGAGAAGCTCGATTATGAGATGGCAGGTAGGCGTTACAAGAATGGGACTAGGCTACAATCAAAGCCAAGTTCCTTCAATTTAATGGTTCAGTTGTGCTATAGCCTAAAACATTTTGCGCATAAAAGGAGGAGCATCTGTCAACCGTCAAACAGTCAAACAGTCAAGAATAGTGAAAATAGAACCAAAAGACAGCACATAAAAGACAACAATGAGAGAGAGGTAACTCATTAACAGACTGTTCTCACACATCATCATGTTTGCTGGCTCCATCCTTCACTATTCTTGGAGGTATTCTCTAGGCTGTTAGTTAAACGTCTCATTCAGCAGCTGTAGGAAATGGAAAACGATACCAAGAGTTAAATAAAACCCTTAACTTAACCTTCGGTGTACTGCCGTGAGGGATTAAACCTGACTCCATTCAGGTTTTTGGATAAACCCTGCTTCCCCTAAATGGACCATCAATCAGGAGAGATTAGGACGTTTCTGACTGCACTCCTGTCAATACTAATTAGACTTTCATAGGTAACGTCTTGCAGGACCCCACTTGTCCAAATAAGCTGCTTTAGTCGGAAGACAAATCCGTCTAACCCACATATCAGAGAACTGGCCCATTTGGCATGTTACACAGTATAGGCCTAATAATGTCTTAGGGTGGCATTCTACATCACTATACTGTATATTCAACAGTTTTGCTATACTTAAAAGATGGCACTTAAACAAAAATGTACATCTGAAGAGTTGTTGATTCTAATAAAGTCAGTGTTTCAGACGCATTTCAGATGCACTTTGTCATCAGTCATTAGTCATTGTAATTTGATGGATTGTGAAAGTATTCACCCCCCTTGGCATTTTTCCTATTTTGTTGCCTTAAAACCTGGAATTAAAATTGATATTTGGAGGGTTTGTATCATTTGATTTACACAACATGCCTACCACTTTGAAGATGCAACATGTTTTTTATTGTGAAACAAACAAGAAATAAGACAAAATAAACAGAAAACTTGAGCGTGCATAACTATTCAGCCCCCCAAAGTCAATACTTTGTAGAGCCACCTTTTGCAGCAATTACAGCTGCAAGTCTCTTGGGGTATGTCTATATAAGCTTGGCACATCTAACCACTGGGATTTTTGCCCATTCTTCAAGGCAAAACTGCTCCAGCTCCTTCAAGTTGGATGGGTTCTGCTGGTGTACAGCAATCTTTAAGTCATACCACAGATTCTCAATTAGATTGAGGTCTGGGCTTTGACTAGGCCATTCCAAGATATTTAAATGTTTCCCTTTAAACCACTTGAGTGTTGCTTTAGCAGTATGCTTAGGGTCATTGCCCTGCTGGAAGGTGAACCTCCGTCCCAGTCTCAAATCTCTGGAAGACTGAAATAGGTTTCCCTCAAGAATTTCCCTGTATTTAGCGTCATCCATCATTCCTTCAATTCTGACCAGTTTCCCAGTCCCTGCTGATGAAAAACATCCCCACAGCATGATGCTGCCACCACCATGCTTCACTGTGGGGGTGGTGTTCTCGGGGTGATGAGAGGTGTTGGGTTTGCGCCAGACATAGCGTTTTCCTTGATGGCCAAAAAGCTCAATTTTAGTCTCATCTGACCAGAGTACCTTCTTCCATATGTTTGGGGAGTCTCCCACATGCCTTTTGGCGAACACCAAACGTGTTTGCAATTTTTTTCTTTAAGCAATGGCTTTTTTCTGGCCACTCATCCGTAAAGCCCAGTTCTGTGGAGTGTACGGCTTAAAGTGGTCCTATGGACAGATACTCCAATCTCCGCTGTGGAGCTTTGCAGCTCCTTCAGGGTTATCTTTGGTCTCTTTGTTGCCTCTCTGATTAATGCCCTCCTTGCCTGGTCCGTGAGTTTTGGTGGGCGGCCCTCTCTTGGCAGGTTTGTTGTGGTGCAATATTCTTTCCATTTTTTAAATAATGGATTTAATGGTGCTCCGTGGGATGTTCAAAGTTTCTGATATTTGTTTATAACCCAACCCTGATCTGTAGTTCTCCACAACTTTGTCCCTGACATGTTTGGAGAGCTCCTTGGTCTTCATGGTGCCGCTTGCTTGGTGGTGCCCCTTGCTTAGTGGTGTTGCAGACTCTGGGGCCTTTCAGAACAGATGTATATATACTGAGATCATGTGACAGATCATGTGACACTTAGATTGCACACAGGTGGACTTTATTTAACTAATTATGTGACTTCTGAAGGTAATTGGTTGCACCAGATCTTATTTAGGGGTTTCATAGCAAAGGGGGTGAATACATATGCACACATCACTTTTCCGTTATTTATTTTGTATAATCTTTTGAAACAAGTTATTATTTTCATTTCACTTCACCAATTTGGACTATTTTGTGTATGTCCGTTACATGAAATCCAAATAAAAATCAATTTAAATTACAGGTTGTAATGCAACAAAATAGGAAAAACACCAAGGGGGATGAATACTTTTGCAAGGCACTTTATAAAGGCTTATTTTTTTTACTTATCAACCATTCCAGCTTCAACAGGGCCTTGTGGGCCTACACGGCCTGTTGTTACCTGGATTTCTCTCAGCACTATTTTTCCTGTTTAAGTGTAGTCAGTCATCATACGTATTCCTCATAGACAACTTTCATTTTTTAAAGGTTCCACTTTAAAACCCCTTACCCTATTGCCATTCCACTGACCAGTCTGGGACCCAGTTACGTCAGCATGGCATTTAAATTACCTTTAACCTTCTCTGCCACCAAAGCCTTCTCAGACAAGATTATGGGCCTCTGAAATCCACTCTACTTAGTTGTTAGTGGTAAATAACAGTTAAGAAAAGACAGTCCAGCCCATGCCATGGCACGAATTATACCATGGCCCTAGTGCCAACCGTGCCCTAATTCCTCCAAGGCCATAATCCTTTCAAAAGGCCCAAAGGATGGTATATAATCCCTAGCATAGTTGAGAAGAACGAATTGGACTTCAGCAGTCAACTTCAGAAACTCCTGTTAAGCAGTCCAGGATGGCAGAGCTAGGAGTGTTTGCTGGCAGGTGGCACGATGATACAACGAGAGAATCAGGCTTCGCCTACACCAACAGCAATAACACCAAAGGTACAGTACATCTTGTTCAGTGTAGTACCTGAGGGTGACATCATTTGGTAGAACTATTGAAAGAGCCTAATTCTGTACATTCCCCCAAAATATTGTAGATATTGTAGATTTACAGAGAGTAATGGTGTCCTTTTTAAGTTAAATTGATGTTGCTGAAGGTTTTTTGTTGCAGTGTAGTTCTCTTATACGTTATTTCACAAACAGCAGACATACCATTTGGAACTGGCATTAGCAGTACACATAATGATACAAGCAATTCATTGAATTATTTGTGTCGGGACAATGTTTTTCTTGTTCATAACATTTGATGCACACATTCTGTTCAAAATATTGGTTACTGTCCTCATATGACTATGTCAATAAGTCATGAATTGATATTACATTTAACATTTTTTATATTCAAATATAATTTTAATCTCTTGTTCTTTTGCAGATCCTTTTGCGGGCCCCAACTACCACATTGCTCCAAGATGGGTGTACAATATTTCAACACTTTGGATGATATTTGTGGTCATCGCCTCAGTCTTCACCAATGGCCTGGTACTGGTGGCCACTGCAAAATTCAAGAAGCTCCAACACCCTCTCAACTGGATCTTGGTCAACCTTGCTATTGCTGACATTGGAGAAACACTTTTGGCTAGCACCATCAGCATTTGCAACCAGATTTTTGGCTACTTCATTCTGGGACATCCAATGTGTGTATTTGAGGGATACACTGTCTCTGTGTGTGGTAAGAGGCTCCTCAGTTTTACAAATATTTTTATTGTATTTATTGTACCAGTAATATTTGGAAATTGTAGATTAATGTATAAAGAAATTAATCGACACAAAGTGTTCCCTATAGGCATTTCCTTGGTGCATGTTATGATGGTGCTGTGTTTTCACATAGAATTAGAGTGTCTCTAACTTTGAGTACAACTGTTCCCCTGCACAGGTATTGCTGCTCTGTGGTCCCTGGCTATCATCTCCTGGGAGAGATGGGTGGTGGTGTGCAAGCCCTTTGGAAGTGTCAAGTTTAATGCCAAATGGGCCATGGGAGGCATTATGTTTTCCTGGGTCTGGGCTGCTTTCTGGTGTGCTCCTCCCATCTTTGGCTGGAGCAGGTATGGATTTCTCTTCTTATTTCACTGAGGATTCATGTTCAAAATATTATGTTATTTAACCAATTTCTTTATGTCTCTCTTTCCATCAGGTACTGGCCTCATGGCCTGAAGACTTCCTGTGGACCTGATGTGTTCGGAGGCAATGAGGATCCTGGAGTCAAGTCCTACATGATTACTCTCATGATTACATGCTGCTTCTTCCCCCTGGCTGTGATCATCTTCTGCTACATTTTCGTGTGGCTAGCCATCCGTGCAGTAAGTGATATTTTAAATATGCTATACTGTAGCAAGCAACTATGTTGTTAAATACAGTAATGGTCAAGTGTATTAAAATGTTAAATCTAACCATTTGATATTCCTTCTAAATGACCACAGGTTGCTGCGGAGCAGAAAGACTCAGAGTCAACACAGAAGGCTGAGAAGGAAGTGTCCAGGATGGTTGTTGTCATGATCATAGCTTTCTGTGTATGCTGGGGACCTTATACCTGCTTTGCCTGCTTTGCTGCGGCTAATCCTGGGTATGCTTTCCACCCTCTGGCAGCTGCACTGCCTGCCTACTTTGCCAAGAGCGCCACCATCTACAATCCAGTTATCTATGTCTTCATGAACAAACAGGTCGGTGTATTTGTCTGATAGCTACATGTACACTGAACAAAAAGAGGCCTTAATCTATGGATTTCACACGACTGGGAATACAGATATGCATCTGTTGGACACAGATACCTTAAAAAAAAGGTAGGGCCGTGGATCAGAAAACCAGTCAGTATCTGGTGTGACCACCATTTGCCTCATGCAGCGCGACACATCTCCTTCGCATAGAGTTGATCAGGCTGTTGATTGTGGCCTGTGGAATGTTGTAGCACTCCTCTCCAATGGCTGTACGAAGTTACTGGATTTTGTCAGGAACTGGAACACGCTGCCGTACACATCGATCCAGAGCATCCCAAACATGCTCAATGGGTGGTGACATGTCTGGAGAGTATGCAGGCCATGAAAGAACTGGTACATTTTCAGCTTCCAGGAATTGTGTATGACACTGAACTGCAGTCAGGTCAAGACTCTGGTGATGACGATGGGCATTCAGATGAACTTCCCTGAGGTTTCGGACAGTTTGTGCAGAAATTATTTGGTTGTGCAAACCCACAGTTTCATCAGCTGTCCGGGTGGCTGGTCTCAGACGATCCCGCAGGTGAAGAAGCCAGATGTGGAGGGCTGGCGTAGTTACACGGGGTCTGCGGTTGTGAGGCCGGTTGGACGTACTGCCAAATTCCCTAAAAGAATGTTGGAGGCGGCTTATGGTAGAGAAATGAACATTCGATTATCTGACAACAATTTCTTTGCACATTCCTGCAGTCAGAATGCCAATTGCATGCTCTCTCAAAACTTGAGACATCAATGGCATTGTGTTGTGTGACAAAACTGCACATTTTAGAGTGGCCTTTTATTGTCCCCAGCACAAGGTGCACCTGTGTAATTATCATGCTGTTTAATCAGCTTCTTGAAAGGTGAATGGATTATCTTGGCAAAGGAAAAATGCTCACTAACAGGGATGTAAAGACATTTTCGCACAAAATTTGATAGAAAGAAGCTTTTTGTGTATATGGAAAATTTCTGGGATCTTTTATTTCAGCGCATGACACATGGGCCCAACACTTTACATGTTGCGTTTATATTTTGGTTCAGTATAATTTGACCCATCAATAATAAAGTCGTTAACAAAGGACTCATGTCTACCTAAATGTAGACATACAGTATATTTTGAATCTCTTTCCTCATGTTCCATTCTTCTTCTCTCTCCCCAGTTCCGTTCCTGCATCATGCAGCTCTTTGGCAAGGTAGAAGATGATGGCTCTGAAGTGTCTACATCAAAAACAGAGGTTTCCTCTGTGGCACCTGCATAAACCCCAGACAACGTCGTACGTCTTGGAAACAAATCGTTCTGTGGAGATTTTATGAATGGGACTTTTTAAATGTACAGTACATCCTCTTGTGTTTCTTAAACAAAAAATGTCCCACAACTTTTCAGGAGATGATTAAGCTTTACCTCATACAGTTGCAATGTGTGTAAAAACATTACCCACGAAACCTAAATTGCTATGATCCACCCCTTGGAGTTTTTCTAATCCATGATCTTCGAAACAACCAGAGAATGGTGTGGTAATTGATATGCATACTATGGCTATTTGAGTGGTATATTATGGGAATGTGTATATAGTACTACTATCAATGTCTGTTCAAGTGGCAAGAAAAAGTTGTCATCTTGGAATGCATTCCCTTCAATCTGCAGTGGCTAAACTAGACAGCACCACAGCAAAGGAGAACTGAAATTAACTGCCGATGGAAATCTGATAACTCAAAATGATGTGAACAATATATGGTTTGAAAACCCCTTACTTTTAAAGTAACTTATGAGGTAAACATTTTCTATCCATCTTGCAAATAAAAAAACAACAACAACAAAATGATAGTAAATAGATAATTGTGTATACAATGTATTTAACAATGTTTTTTTCTGATTAAAATAAATGTCATGCATGCAGCAAAATGAAAATACCCTCTGGTCTCACTTTCTATTTTTATACACTGTTTAAAACAATTTTATTCACTGCTACCTGTTATCAATGATTGTTTAAAGACCAAACTCACATGACACACCCCATATGAACTGTCTGGTAAAGCGGATAGTATAGAGATTATCTCCCCAATCAGCCTAAAGGACCAAAGTGGTCCACTTTCCTCATCATTGGTTTGTATTTACAGCAGGAAAAGCTTGAACATAGAATGAAGTAAATTAAATCAACAACGTCTGATTATCCCCCCAAAGACTACTTCCCTATTTACTTTGTTATAGTAAAAACATTTATATTGTCAAAATATGTTTTCACTATTTACAAGTAATAAGAACAATTGTTAAGTCAACAATTTTTCCTTTTAAGCATGAAGAGGATAAGGAATTTCACCTGAATGCTAAATTACGTGACACCAAAAGCACTTCTTATCCAAGAAGGATTAACCTTAAATTCAAACCTTGGCTTCAGTTCGTCCAAGCCAGCGTAACTGAAGTTATGGGTGTGTGTGTGTGTGTTCGATCTTAATCTCGATGACAACATGGCTGGTATAAAACCCCACAGATTGGGGTACACCATCTTGTTGGTTGCTAACACCACAACAGGTGATCAGCAAGAAAAGACAAGAGAAGCCAACCACAAGACAGAAAAAAAGCAACCAACAGGTAAAGGCAAAAAACACAATTGTGGTAACAAACAACTGGCAAGGTAAATATTTTAGAACAATTCAATGACTGAAATGGAAATAATATGTTGTCTTCTTGATGTGCATATTCTTCAGATACCTTCTCAGAAATGGCAGAAAGTTGGGGAAGGGCTGCTTTTGCAGCCAGGCGACAAAACCAAGATACAACGAGAGAATCTTCCTTCACCTTCACCAACAGTAATAACACCAAAGGTGAGAGAGGACAAGCAAATGCATCTACCTTGATTGAAACTTTCAATTCATATATTTTATTTTATTTAAATTATGAGGTTATATTTCCTGTATTTATTAATGTTTTTATTGAAGTTCTATACAACATAGATGGCATAAGTAAAATTGCACTTTATACGTATAATTTGAATGAATTAATACCATTGATGTAATTTGCATTGCTTTTGCATTTTAATTGATCATCTAAAAGCATGTAGATAATCTAACCAGGCACTTGCACCTGTCATTTTCACATTCTTAGAAAAATACTTTTCTCTGTTTTATCTCAGATCCCTTTGAGGGCCCCAACTACCACATTGCTCCAAGATGGGTGTACAATGTTTCAACACTTTGGATGATCATAGTGGTCATCCTCTCAGTCTTCACCAATGGCCTGGTACTGGTGGCCACTGCAAAATTCAAGAAGCTCCAACACCCTCTCAACTGGATCTTGGTCAACCTTGCTATTGCTGACATTGGAGAAACACTTTTGGCTAGCACCATCAGCGTTTGCAACCAGTTTTTTGGTTACTTCATTCTGGGACATCCAATGTGTGTCTTTGAGGGATACACTGTCTCTGTGTGCGGTAAGATGCAGTTTTACATGGACTACAAAATTATCTCATATTTAACAATAAAATTATAAATTGCTACACAGTGCTGAGAAATAGTAATTGGCAGAACATAGCATAGTGACAGTAATCAGAATTTCTCTTTTGTTTAATTTACAGTGTATGTATATATTATGCACAGGTATTGCTGCTCTGTGGTCTCTGGCTGTCATCTCCTGGGAGAGATGGGTGGTGGTGTGCAAGCCCTTTGGAAGTGTCAAGTTTGATGCCAAATGGGCCATGGGAGGCATTATCTTTTCCTGGGTCTGGGCTGCTTTCTGGTGTGCTCCCCCCATCTTTGGCTGGAGCAGGTGTGGATTTCTCTTCTTATTTCACTGAGGATTCAAGTTCAAAAGATTAAATTATTCAACACATTTCTTTATCTCTCTCCCTCCAACAGGTACTGGCCTCATGGCCTGAAGACTTCCTGTGGACCTGATGTGTTCGGAGGCAATGAGGATCCTGGAGTCAAGTCCTACATGATTACTCTCATGATTACATGCTGCTTCTTCCCCCTGGCCGTGATCATCTTCTGCTACATTTTCGTGTGGCTAGCCATCCGTGCAGTAAGTGATATTTTAAATATACTATACTGTAGCAAGCAACTACGTTGTTAAATACAGTAATGGTCAAGTGTACCTTTTGAAAAGGCATATTAGAGCGTTAAATCTAACCATTTGATATTCCTTCTGAATGACCACAGGTTGCTGCGCAGCAGAAAGACTCAGAGTCAACACAGAAGGCTGAGAAGGAAGTGTCCAGGATGGTTGTTGTCATGATTATAGCTTACTGTGTATGCTGGGGACCTTATACCTGCTTTGCCTGCTTTGCTGCGGCTAACCCTGGGTATGCATTCCACCCTCTGGCTGCCGCCATCCCTGCCTACTTTGCCAAGAGCGCCACCATCTACAATCCAGTTATATATGTCTTCATGAATAGACAGGTAAGTCTTAACAGGATTCTCAGACACTGTTTTTTATTTAATCTTACTGATTTCGTGTAACAAAGCTCTAACAATACACATTTTTCTAAATGTTTCACAGTTGCCTTTCTTGTGAAGTACATTTTTATTTATTTTAAAAAGCATCAGCTGACAATGTGTTCGCTCAATTTCTAGATAGTAATTTTAATTATTCCTCTCTCTCCAGTTCCGTACTTGCATCATGCAGCTCTTTGGAAAGGCAGAAGATGATGGCTCTGAAGTGTCTACATCAAAAACAGAGGTTTCCTCTGTGGCACCTGCATAAACCCCAGACAACATCGTACCTCTTGGAAACCAATCGTGAACGTTTTGAGGAGATTTTCCAAATGGAACTTTTCAAATGTACAGTACATCCTCTTGTTTTCTTAAACAAATATTCTCCCACAACTTTTCAGGAGATTATTAAGCTTTACCTCATACAGTTGCAAGGTGTGTAAAAACGTTGCCCACAAAAACTAAATTGCTGTGGACCACCCCTTGGAGCTTTTTTAATCCATGGTCTTCAATTAAACAAGCAGAGAATGGTGTGGTAATTGATATGCATACTATAGCTATTTGAGTGGTATATTATGGGAATGTGTATATAGTACTATTATCAATGTCTGTTCAAGTGGCAAGAAAATGTTGTCATCTTGGACGGCATTCCCTTCACTCTGCAGTGGCTAAACTAGACAGCATCACAGCTAAGGAGAACTGAAATAAACTGGCAATGGAAATCTGATAATCTCAAAATGATGTGAACAATGTATGGTTTGAAAACCCCTTACTTTTAAAGTAACTTATGAGGTAAACATTTTGAATCCCTCTTGCAAATAAAAAAACAAAACAAAAAATAATAATAGTAAATAGATAATTGTGTATACAATGTATTTAACAATGTTTTTTTCTGATTAAAATAAATTTCATGCATGCAGCAAAATGAAAATACCCTCTGGTCTCACTTTCTATTTTTATCCACTGTTTATAACAATTATCAGTGATTGTTTACATGTTTAAAGACCAAACTCACATGACACACCCCAAATGAACTATATGGTAAAGCAGATAGCATAGAGATTATCTCCCCAATCAGCCTAAAGGACCAACGTCTGATTATCCTCCCAAAGAATACTCCCTGTTTACTTTGTGTGTGTGTGTGTGTGTGTGTGTGTGTGTGTGTGTGTGTGTGACCATTTCTGATTTAGATTAATCTTGATGACAACATGGCTGGTATAAAACCCCACAGATTGGGGTACATCATCTTGTTGGTTGCTAACACCACAACAGATGATCAGCAAGAAAAGACAAGAGAAGCCAACCACAAGAGAGAAAAAAAGCGGCCCACAGGTAAAGGCAAAAAACACAATTGTGATAACAAACAACTGGCAAGGTAAATATTTTAGAACAATTCAATGACTGAAATGGAAATAATATGTTGTCTTCTTGATTAGCATATTCTTCAGATACTTTCTCAGAAATGTCAGAGGATTGGGGAAGTGCTGCTTTTGCAGCCAGGCAACATAACCAAGAGACAACTAAATCATCTTCCTTCACCTTCACCAACAGCAATAAAACCAAAGGTGGGAGAGGACGAGAAACTACAGTAATGGTCAAGTGTACCTTTTGAAAAGGCATATTTTACCATTTAAAATTCCTTCCGAATGACCCTACTTTAGGTTGCCGTGCAGCAGAAAGACTCTGAGTCAACACAGAATGCTCAGAAGGAAGTGTCCAGGATGGTTGTTGCCATGATTATAGCTTACTGTGTATGCTGGGGACCTTATACCTGCTTGCCTGCAACCTAGACTCAGGGGTAGATGTAGCATAGTAAATGTAAATCCGGGACACTCAAATTAGTATGATATGTTACGTTTGGTATGGTATGTATTAATTTGTGGATGTCCATCATCCATTTCATATGATATGTTACGAATTACAATTCGTATGATATGTTATGAATTGCAATTCGTATTATATGTTATGAATTTGCAATACCTATGATATGTTAGAAATTCCAATTTGTTGTAGCTAACATTAGCTAGGTGGCTAGGTGTCTAACATTAGCTGGGCTAGGGATTAGGGGTTAAAGGGAAATTTCATCCTGGCTCTGCCACAGCATATAGTCATTACTATATTAACAACATTACGTTTTTGTTCTAAACATAAAAATGATCCAAACCACAAGCTAGAATTAGCACATTTTAATTTCACTGGTAGAATTGGGAAGTTTTGACTTCCTGTGTTTTCGTCTGCTCATAGTGAACCACAAAGTCCGGCATACAGTGCCTTGCAAAAGTATTCAACCCCCTTGGCGTTTTCCCTATTTTGTTGCATTACAACCTGTAATTTAAATGGATTTGTAAGGGACAAAGTTGTGGAGAAGTACAGATAAGATGGGTTATAAAAAAATATCAGAAATGTTGAATATCCCACGGAGCACCATTAAATCCATTATTAAAAAATTGAAAGAATACAGCACCACAACAAACCTGCCAAGAGAGGGCCACCCACCAAAACTCACAGACCAGGCGAGGAGGGCATTAATCAGAGAGGCAACAAAGAGACCAAAGATAACCCTGAAGGAGCTGCAAAGCTCCACAGCGGAGATTGGAGTATCTGTCCATAGGACCACTTTAAACCGTACACTCCACAGAGCTGGGCTTTATGGAAAAGTGGCCAGAAAAAAGCCATTGCTTAAAGAAAAAAATAAGCCAACATGTTTGGTGTTCGCCAAAAGGCATGTGGGAGACTCCCAAAACATATGGAAGAAGGTACTCTGGTCAGATGAGACTAAAATTGAGCTTTTTGGCCATCAAGGAAAAAGCTATGTCTGGCGCAAACCCGAAACCTCTCATCACCCCGAGAACACCATCCCCACAGTGAAGCATGGTGGTGGCAGCATCATGTTGTGGGGATGTTCTTAATCGGCAGGGACTGGGAAACTGGTCAGAATTGAAGGAATGCGCTAAATACAGGGAAATTCATGAGGGAAACCTGTTTCAGTCTTCCAGAGATTTGAGACTGGGACGGAGGTTCACCTTCCAGCAGGACAATGACCCTAAGCATACTGCTAAAGCAACACTTGAGTGGTTTAAGGGGAAACATTTAAATGTCTTGGAATGGCCTAGTCAAAGCCCAGACCTCAATCCAATTGAGAATCTGTGGTATGACTTAAAGATTGCTGTACACCAGCGGAACCCATCCAACTTGAAGGAGCTGGAGCCGTTTTGCCTTGAAGAATGGGCAAAAATCCCAGTGGCTAGATGTGCCAAGCTTATAGAGACATACCCCAAGAGACTTGCAGCTGTAATTGCTGCAAAAGGTGGCTCTACAAAGTATTGACTTTGGGGAGGTAAATAGTTATGCATGCTCAAGTTTTCTTTTTTTTGTTTGTTTGTTTCACCATATAAAATATTTTGCATCTTCAAAGTGGTAGGCATGTTGTGTAAATCAAATGATACAAGCCCCCCAAAAGTCCATTTGAATTCCAGGTTGTAAGGCAACAAAATAGGAAAAATGCCAAGGGGGGTGAATACTTTCGAAAGCCACTGTATATCCCGCCAGCTGTATGTTATCCATGTTGTCGTTCAGCCATGACTTGGCTAAACATATAACAGTTTTTAATGTCCCGTTGGTAGGATATCCGTGATCTTAGTTTGTCTATTTTGTTATCCAATGATTGTATGTTGGCTAATAGGACTGATGGTAGAGGCAGATTACGCACTTGCCGTCGGATCCTTACACAAGGCACCCCGACCTTTGTCCCCGATATCTCTGTCTATTTCTCATGCGAATGACAGGGATTTGGGCCTTGTCGGGTGTCTGAAGAAAATCCTTCGCGTCCGACTCATTAAAGAAAAGATCTTCGTACAGTACGAGGTGAGTAATCACTGTCCTGATATCCAGAAGCTCTTTTCGGTCATAAGAGACGGTGGCAAAACCATTATGTACAAAATAAGTTACAAATAACGCGAAAAAACACACAATAGCACAATTGGTTAGGAGCCCGTAAAACGGCAGCCATCTCCTTCAGCACCATTAAGTTGTCATAATTACTGTGGAAGGGGGTGAGAACCACAAACCTCCTAGGTTTTGTATTGAAGTCAATATACCCAGAGGAGGATGGAAACTAGCTGTCCTCCGGCTACACCATGGTGCTACCCTAGTGCTGTTGAGGCTACTGTAGACCTTAATTGCAAAACAATGTATTTTAATCAATTATTTGGTGACGTTAATATATTTAGTATAGTTTTATCTAAAAAGGATAACTTTTTCAATGTTTCACTATTTTAATATTTATAAAATTCACTGAGGAGGACGGTCCTCCCCTTCCTCCTCTGAGGAGCCCCCACTGGAAGGTGTACTAGCCCGTCTAGCAAGCGACACGGTGCTGGGCACAGCCCAGTGAGTGGTGCTTCCACCCGCTGGTGCTGGATTGAGGTGAGCGCTTTTCTCCGCGATTGATCGCATAGCTGTCCATTTATGCTCAGTTTTAATAAGCACTATCTTAGTTACTACATCTCTCTCTCTCTCTCTCTCTCTCTCTCTCTCTCTCCCTCTCTCTCTCTCTCTCTCTCTCTCTCTCTCTCTCTCTCTCTCCACAACCATTGTAATTATGCAGTACAAATAAATGGGTACCACTTTTAAGGGATCCTTATTACAGTGTCATTACATGTGTAATTACACTGTAACAAGTATTGTAGTCAATTGTAATAGCTCAGTTAGATTGTAATAATATGTAACTGGTGGTAATTGCGGTCTGTAATTACAGAGGTGTAAGAACAAATGCTTGTTACCATGCTTGTTACAAATGGTCAAGTTTCCACTAAATTCACCAATTTAGTCTTTAGTTTCTTCTCAGCTGCATCTGATTCAGTAATAACCCTTCACAAGGTTTGTATCTCTTGTGGACAGATGTGCTGGGTGTCTGAGATTAAAGGTTGGAGGCTCAATAGGCTCTAATTACCTATCCGTGAATGTGCACTCTTCAAAATCTCCACTCAAACTTGTTGCTAGCATTTGCCCCGCAAGAAGTGTACCATCTGGGTTAAATTGATTGAGTTTAGAATAACAGATCAGATATAGGTCACTGCCTGGGGTCTACCATACTGGTGTCATCCTATATTATACTTTTAAAAACTACTGATAATGAATGTGTCAATTACCCATTATGACAACCTGAACCTCCTTGCCAAGTCAGTTTGGTGGAAACACCACTGGCGGGAAATGTTGTACCTTATTGCGGATTTTAGAATATTTGCATGAAACTCTGTCGGCAATTGGATGGAAACCTAGCTACAGAACTTCTTCTCGACCCCGTTCTTTTCGCACTGTTACATTATGTCAGTGTCAACGCATGTGGGCACGTTCGAGGTTGTTGTTATTCGAGCGTGTTGTGCAGATGGGCAGATCTTGACATGATGCCTTAATTCCTTGGATAAATAAATAATTGCACCAAAAAGACTTCTCAACAGCTTCTACCCCCAAGCCATAAGACTCCTGAACAGCTAATCATGGCTACCCGGACTATTTGCACTGCCCCCCCACCCCATCCTTTTCACGCTGCTGCTACTCTGTTAATTATTTATGCAAGGTTACTTTAACTCTACCCACATGTACATATTACCTCAACTACCTCAACTAGCCGGTGCCCCCGCACATTGACTCTGCAACGGTACCCCCCTGCATATATAGCCTCCCTACTGTGACTTTATTTTACTTCTGCTCTTTTTTTTCTCAACACTTTTTTTTGTTGTTGTTTTATTTTTAAACATTAAAACATTAAAAATAAATGCACTGTTGGTTAAGGGCTGTAAGTAAGCATTTCACTGTAATGTCTGCACCTGTTGTATTCGGCGCATGTGACCAATAACATTTGATTTGATTTGATTTGAAATATCTATTGGTCACAGACACATGGTTAGCAGATGTTAGTGTGAGTATAGCAAAATGCTTGTGCTTCTAGTTCCGACAGTGCAGCAACATCTAACAAGTAATATCTAACAGTTCCAAAACTAAAACCTAATACACACAAATCTAAGTAAAGGAATGGAATAAGAATATATAAATATATGGATGAGCAATGTCATTATCAGAGTGGCATAGGCTAAGATGCAATAAATAGTATAGAATACTGTATATACATATGAGATGGGTAATGCAAGATATGTAAACATTATTAAGATAGTAAATAATACAGTATATACATATGAGATGGGTAATGCAAGATATGTAAACATAATTTAAGTGGCATTATTAAAGTGACTAGTGTTCCATTTTATTAAAGTGGGCAGTGATTTTCAAGTCTGTATGTAGGCAGCAGCCTCTCTGTGCTAGTGATGGCTGTTTAACAGTCTGTTGGCCTTGAGATAGAAGCTGTTTTTCAGTCTCTCAGTCCCAGCTTTGATGCACCTGTACTGACCTCACCTTCTGGATGATAGCTGGGTGAACAGGCAGTGGCTCGGTGGTAGTTGTCCTTGATTATCTTTTTGGCCTTCCTGTGACATCGGGTGCTGTAGGTGTCATGGAGGGCAGGTAGTTTGCCCCCGGTGATGCGTTGTGCAGACCGCACCACCCTCT